TGTCACAGTAAAACAAAATGGAGTGCCAGGCATGGTAGTGCATGCCAACCATCCCATCATTTGTGAGGCAGAAACAGGTCAATCAGGTGTTAGAGGTCAGGCTTAGTCTGACATCAGTGATCTCAACTAACTTAGCTGATTGCAGATTTGTAAAAAAAACATAAGGTGTGACTTATTTAGGTACTTTTCTGCATTTTGTCTATCCTTTCTATTCTTTTGTTTTTTTTTTATGTTAGACTTTACTGTTAGGGACACCTCCAAGAGTCCTTTGAAAGCTATGAACAATACTCTTCTGGTAACAAATGCATATGGCATTCACACAGTGCAGACATTTCTAGGAGGTCCAGAAATCTCTAGTTAAAAATTCCTACTTTGACCTTATATAAGGCCATTGTGACTCAGAATGTGTTTCCCCAAGTTTAATTTCATAGTGAGATTGGAGGGTCATATTGATTTGGGAACACATTTTAGAGATTTATATGAAATTCAAGAGACACTTCTCCATATAGAAGAGTTTATACAGCATCCTCTTAAGACAGGGAAGTGGTGGCACCTTAATTGGTTTTATATACATGTGAACATGTAAATACGACTTTCTGCAATGCTTCTCACCAACCTAGGTAGTTTTCAACACAGGCATTGTGGAATACTTGAAGCTCTGAAAGGGGTTGTAATAGAAGAACCATGTCAGATGGAGATAGTCCTAAAGGAAGGAGTCAGAAAGAAGCAGAGAGTTCAGAGGGACAGGGAGACAAAAATAGAATCGGAAGCTGGCCATTTAGACGGTCTCTTGTAACTAGTCAAGATAACTTCAGTGAAGGAGGTGTGATGATTAAAATAAAGGTGTGGGAGACGAAGCACAGGCATTGGCATGAGCGTGATTTCAGCTTTGGGGTTTGTGTTTCTGGTTGACTTACTAATGATTCTCTGTCTCATTTTCCTAAGTATATGATGGGTCTAGTAATTCAGAGTCCTGAAAGAATTTAATGTACATAAAGTGCTTAACATAGTACTCAGAACACATATAAATAGTCAATAAATACTATGTACCATCTTACTTTTGGTCTGAGCAATACATAATTGGCCATTATCGAATACCAACTTTTTGTGCCAGGCATCATTATGCTATGAATAAAAATACAGAATTGTTGATGTTCTCCAGGAGAGGAGAGAATTAGTAGGAAATATATACACATATATGCTAATTCGAATGTTCTAGAAGCTCCCAGTATTTGAAGTAATAAACACTTTCTAGGATTGGATGCTAACATTCACCATTTAAGGAAACTTAAACTGCATTTTTTGCAAGGATGGTCAGAGAGTGTAAGTTCATTTGTGGCCATGTTTAATTTGACTATCAGATAAAACTATTTAAGGAACTAGTTCTACTTTGTGTGGAAGTTGTAATCTATCTTCTCTAAAGGCATCCAGTTATAAGATTCCTCCTCAGACTTATGGGTGAATATGTTTAAGTACCTGAAAATTGTAAAATAAAATTATCACGTCTCTCTTTTTTTTTTTTTTTTTGGTTTTCCGAGACAGGGTTTCTCTGTGTAGCCTTGGCTGTCCTGGAACTCACTCTGTAGACCAGACTGGCCTCGAACTCAGAAATCTGCCTGCCTCTGCCTCCCAAGTGCTGGGATTAAAGGCATGCGCCACCACTGCCCAGCTTCATTTTTTTTTAAATGTAGCTAAACAAACCTTTGAACGTACTAACCTAACTGGGTGTGGGTGCCTTTTAAAGAAAACCCTTCCCATTTATAGCCCAGTTTACTGTAGGTGGTTCCATTAAGTACCTGGCTAGTTCAGTACATTTAGTGGGTTTGACTTAGAAACATCTTTCGTGAATGCATTTATTTTACTTAAGTGCTAGATATAATTGTAGTCAATATTTGTGATTCCTGTGAGAGGGTTATGTACACATTACTACTCACTGATAATATTTGAACAAATACCAGTGGAAGAATCAACTTTTCAGGTCCTGATGAAGATTTCTAATGCTAGTGAGATGAAGAAGAGTACTCAAAATCAAGAGATGCCCTACTCTCTCTTACTAACAGAACCAACAGTCTCAGCCAGGGAGGCATGCTTTCTATTTGTCCTTAGTGAGAGATAACTTAGAATGTCAAAGACTCATAGTAATATCCATATGTCCAACTCTGAAACGACCGTGGGAAAATGGATAAAGTGACAAACTTGTTAGCACTGTCAGTTGGGACATTTCTTTTTCTCTCTGGTCTGCATGAAAATGAAGGCTACCAGATTGAAATATTTCTGGCTGTTCAATTTACATTTCCTAGGTAGATCTTGATTTTTATCTAGTCAGGTTTTAGAAAGCATGAAAAAAAAAAACCCACCTGGGAACTGGAGTTTTGTAACAGGCAGGTGCTAGTTGAACAAATCTGTAACAATAAAACCAAACAGAAGCAGGAGGAGCAGTTGTTACTGATTAAGTCCACAGTTGAAATTCTTCCCTACCCAACTTGACCAGATTAAAGAGTTTTCTAAGGTTAGGGTTTGAGAAAGTGAAAGCGAAAACTATCATCTTTTGTCTCTAGTGACTCAGCTTATTAGAGATAGGATGGAATAGATATGTGTGCTAATATAAAGTAATTCAAGTTCACACTCTGAGGTAAAATGTATTATTCTGCACTGAAACTGCATTTTCCCAAAGCTGTCTGTCTTTTTTTTTTTTTTTTATGCAGGCACTTAGAATGGAATCATTTCAGGAAGGAGAGAGCTAGTTTGAAATATAGCCTTGTTTTCCTTCCACTGGATGTAAAATAGGAGCAGCCCTTATATCTTGCCTTGACATGAAATAGAGAACAATATTGGAGAATAGGGATTGAGAAATTTATAGGGCCTCCAACTCATCACAGTCTCAGAGAAGAGATGCCAGTGGAGAATTTAGGAGGAAATGATCCATGCCGAGCATGGGACCTGGAATGGTAATGCTAATCAGGAAACCAAGACATACAAGTAGCCATTTGCTTCTGTTTATTAGTGAAGAAAAAGAAACCCCCCCCCCCCCCCCCCCAAAAAAAAAACCTTCAGGCAAGTGTCTAAAACAAGTTTTGAAGGAGAGAGTGGGGCACAGAAAGGCTTCCTGATTAATTTCCCAATAATCCCTATTGCTTAAGCATCCCTGGGGAGTCTATCAGGCCGAAAGTCTCCATTGGTTACAATATAATTATTCTGCAATCACTTTTCCTTTGGAAATGCTTAATGACTCTTACTTTGTGTTACTTGCAGGTGAGAGCCCAGCTTCTGCGGTTCTTAATGCCTCAGCAGGATTATTTTCACTAAAGATGGAAACACTGGAGTCTGAATTGACCTGTCCAATCTGCCTCGAGTTGTTTGAAGACCCCCTTCTGCTGCCTTGTGCTCACAGCCTATGTTTTAGCTGTGCCCACCGCATCTTGGTCTCAAGCTGCAGCTCCGGTGAATCCATTGAACCCATTACTGCTTTTCAGTGTCCTACATGCAGGTATGTTATCTCGCTGAATCACCGGGGCCTGGATGGCCTCAAGAGGAATGTGACCCTGCAGAACATTATTGATCGATTCCAGAAGGCTTCAGTCAGTGGGCCCAATTCTCCAAGTGAGAGCCGCAGGGAGAGGACTTACAGGCCTAGCTCCACCATGTCGAGTGAGCGAATTGCATGCCAATTCTGTGAGCAGGACCCTCCAAGAGATGCTGTAAAGACTTGCATCACCTGTGAGGTCTCCTACTGTGATCGTTGCCTTCGGGCCACACACCCCAACAAGAAACCTTTCACCAGCCATCGCCTGGTGGAACCAGTTTCAGACACACATCTTCGAGGGATTACCTGCCTGGACCACGAGAATGAGAAGGTGAACATGTACTGTGTATCTGATGACCAATTGATCTGTGCCTTATGCAAACTGGTGGGTCGTCACCGAGACCATCAGGTCGCTTCTCTGAATGATCGGTTTGAGAAATTAAAGGTAAGCAGTATTCTGTCCCTCACAATTTTGATTTAGTACGTATAGTTGTACAGTTAGCAAGGTCCCCAAAAAACTGGGTCACCTTTCCTATAGGTTAAATACGTCAAGTTATTTTCATAGAGAATAACCTACTCACTGCAAGTTTTCCCTGGGACTTATGTATTACATAAGCCTGCTTGTGTTTATGTATTTATGTGCAGTTCTGGGGAAGTAAGCCCATGGTGCACTTCACCAGGGTAACAGCAGCCTTTCTCCTCTGTGACACATTGTACATTATATATCTTTGCTATGATCTTTCCACCTCGCCTTTTTAGTATGTGAGTACCTGTGTAGGTGTACAGAAATTAGCATGTGTGTTAATTTGCATACATTTGGGTGGGTCTCTGTGGAGCTGTGGGCGGAGGTGTCTGAGTGTATCTGTGTAGATGAGAGATTTGTGGAGGACATTAGTATGTTCGTGTGTTTGCAAGGTCTGGGGATGTGACTCAGTAACAGAGTTGCTTGCATGGCGAGTGCCAAGTCCCTGGATTCTAGCTCCAGCTCTGCAAGAAACAACAACAAAAATACCTCATCAGTACAGCAAAGAAAGCAAAGTGTGGCATTAGCCACTGCAAATTGCCAGTGAGCACTTCACTTAGAGCTAACTCTTATACCAATAGATCACCAAATCAAGAGGTGTAGTTAAACATATGACCAAAAATGTAAAGTAAAAGCAGTGAATATGTAACCTAGTACTTGATTTTGTGCCTGGGTTTGCTATTGTCAGCCCAGGCTAACACACTTTGTTTGCAGGCTCCATCTTACAAGTTTCCAGATTTTGTGTTCGGTGGGCAGTTTGTGAAGTTATGTTATATAATATTTACTTGCAAGTGTGACTGCCTACTTTTGATAGCCTTTCTTCCTCACTTTGATGGTCACAAATGTCAGATGTATCCAACTGTTGGATTCCTGTTGCTTTCCTGATGCGCGAGGTATACATTTTCTTAAGAAGGAAGCTACTTAACATAGATTCCAGACTAAATAAACTGTTTAGTGCTAGTTTTGGCAGCACACATACTAAAATTGTTAATGACAGACAGAAGACTGATTAGCATGGCCCCAGTGTAAGGATTACACATTTGTGAAGCATTCCATATTTTTGCATAATCAGAATATATTATATGGAAAAGTATTTTCAATTAGAAAAGTTTAAATTTGTTAATTTTAAGTGTTAAATGTTGCAGGACTTCTGGAGGACTAAAACCTGTAATGTACATTAGATGCTGTTATATAAAAATTAAATGCATCATTGCCCACATTGTTGTATAATTTTAAAAAAATTGTTATTTCTACAATGAATATTATATCATCACACATTTAGTTATGTGTTCATTATAAAATAAAATGAAATATAACAAAAATAAAATATTTAAATGAATAGTAAGATTCCCATCCCCAAATAGAATTTACCAGGCTAGAAGGAAGGTCCAGATAGCATGGACGGAGGGCTAGAAGGTAATGGAGGCTTTCCTTCTGTTATAATCTGATAAACTTATCCAAATTTACATGGAAATTAGTGTTGGTAAGGGTTATTGACTTAAACTCTTAGAGTCATCAAATTGTTAGGCCATGTACCTGGTCTAATCCAAGCCTTGCATTTTAAAGTTTCATAAATTGAGACTGTCTTCCACTAAGTGCTTTGGTGAACGTTAACAGACCTGTTTAGTAATTGGACTGGCACTGAAACGCAGTCTCCAGGCAGCGTCAACTATCTTTTTTTTTTAAACTGCTGTTTGCCCTACTGAAACTAACTTTGTGCTCCAGCAACTGCACATCCCATAGGTAGGTCCATGATTAGCAGTATCAGGAAAAGGACATAATTTCATAACTTTCAGCTTCACAATGGCAAAAGAAGGGGGTGGGAGTAAGAAGAGTGGGGGATGTGGAGAGGATGGAGTAATCACTGCCAAATATTTTCAGGTGTTAGGATCATAATAAGCCACTGGCTTTGAAAAATATTCCACACAGAAATACCGGCATCCATATGTACTACTGAGATAACAGGAAAACTGAGTAGAATAAGCCTATGTCTACAGAACACTGGCTATTTCAGAATAGCAGAAAACATGAGGTGATAGATCAGGCATTTGGCAGTATACAGCTATAGTTCTAGCCTCCTGGGGAAACACAAGTGTATTATATAAAAAGATGTCTTGGTCTGTGACTAATCAGTAATTTTTGGAGAAAGAGTGGCTATATTTTTTATAGTTTCCCTTTAATTTTTAGGAAATGTGCAGAAAAATCTGTTTATAAATTAAGTGGAAACTATTTTTGCTCATTTTTGGATAGAGACTGGAAACATCTGAATCATTCCCAACTGTGTGGTTTGTTATGTTGTCTGAAAAGGAAAAGGGGGTACTGTGTGTGTGTGTGTGCATGCGCGGGAGCATGTGTGTACGCACGTGTGCTCACGCAGACATACACACATACCTGCATGGGTGAGTAAGATGGAGGGGTGAGGGAGGAAGGGAAGGCAGGGGAGAGAGAAAGGGAGGTGAGGGAGACACACTTGGGGAATTTCCTCCACCCAGTGCCTAGTGGGAAAGGGCATTATTTCCTCACATAAAACAGAGAAGCCTGACTTAATATCATATGTACATACTTCTTTATGTTAATTGAAGATTAGAAAGCATTTGTGATTATTCACCTTGATTCCATTCTTCTGTCCTAAAGAGAATGGAGACAGCCAGCTAGCTGGCAGAAGCTATGGGGGAGACGACCTAAGCACATTCCCCTGGCTCTGAGAGGAACAGTAAGTTCTGTCAGAAAAGGGAAAGAATGATAGTTTATATCTTTCACACACACACACACACACACACACACACACACGCACACACGTTGACTTTTATGGTCATTGACTGATGCAGTGCTCCTTTTTACTTTTCTATTCAACCTCTTTGGCTAGGATTAGTGACCTGTACTGTTGTTCATTGAAAAGCAAACAAACCATTATGGTATATAAGAAAGGTTGGAGCAATAGGAAGGTGGTTTGTTTTTGTTTGTTTGTTTGTTTGTTTTGAACGGAGCTGAGGAGTTTCCGGGGGTGGGTACCTATGTAATGTTTTATGATCTAATTTGTTTAGTATGCCTATAGGGCTGAGATTCAGGACACACAACCTTCAGAAGAGTACCGGTAGTTTAATTCAAACAATACTCATGGTCCTGACAGTTACATGTACCTTACTTGGTCCACGATATATGCTACACTTTTATAAAACTGCTTCACATTTCAGAATTTCTATTTATACCAGCTCATTCCCTTATAAAAAGACTAATGTTATTGTATTATCAAATGTTGGCTTTATATAAAGAGGCCAATTTCAGTGCCTCTCTCTTGCTCATAGACTTCAACTTGATATTCTAAAATCTGCTTTTTTTCATTTGCTGCTCATTACATTTTTCCCTCACGACTCTCAATTTTGCCAGCTTCATCTACTTGGGTGAACTTCCTAACTGCATACAAAACATCCAGTCTAGCCTTCCCCCCGACCCCCATGTTACTAGTGTTCTTCTCTTGGCCTGCTTAGGAACTCTACCCGTTTTTTTAGATCTCAAGCCAAACCCCACAAGTCTGCTCCAACACACTACAGAGACATCATAAATTCCTTGAAGCTGGATACAATGTTTTTGTTTCTTCAGTATCCTCCTTTGTGTTCGTCAAACAGTAGTGCCTCTTTAAGAAATCCAAAGAAATTAGGTCTTCATAATGACATGGGGGTTTTGTTTATTTGTTTGTTCTATTTTTTGAGGCGAGATTTTGATTTTGTTTGTTTGTTTTTTATGTAACACAGGCTGACCTTGAACTCATAATCTTCCTGAATCTGATTCCTGAGTGTTAGGATTATAGGCCAGAACCACTATGCTCAGTTGTTACAGTTATGTTGTAGGAAGTATATATACTAGTGCACATAGCTTGATTTCATTCTCATCTTAGTAGATACAAATCATTCTTGTCATTATGAATACCTTGGAAGTCTAAAAATGCCTCCTGTAAACTACTGACAATTTTCAAACCCAGAGTGTGAGCAAATGTATGACATGTCCTTAATTTTAAGTGCCTATTCATTTTGATTACTGGATTTTCCAACTGCCTAACCCTATGATGACATCTGTATAAATCAGACGTGATTATTGTAATTCTCTTTGAGAGTGATGTCTTCACATTTCCATGCCCACAGCCTGCCAAAAATGTAGCTGATAAAAACACAGTGGGAATAGAGGAATTTCCTGGAAGGGATAAACAAGCACATTTTCCTTTTTTCATTCTATTTCCTCTAATTCACCACTGCAAATAATTATTAAATGTAGCTATATTTACATATCAAGACTCTTGTTATTACAGTATATTACCTGGAACTAGATTAAGTTTTTTCCATTGGAAAGTAACACACACACACACACACACACACACACACACACACACACACACGTTGAGACAGAGCTAAACATTCCCAGACAAAGAGTAAGGAGATATAAGACTTGGAGACTGTTCAGAGGAAAGCTACAGTAAGAGTTAAAAGGTTCGAAAGAAAGGTATTGTTGAATCACGTCACTTCGGTTACTGTCCTTCCTACTCAGTTGCTCTGTTGTTCTGTCACTCACTCTCATTCTGCCACTGTCTTTCCCCAGTCAATTGTCTGTGCACACACTTGACACCCACTTCTGTTGGCTAAGACAGATAGATACCCTTTCAAGTATGTACCAGTAAGCATTTGATTATATCTGAACCAATATGAGTATGAATATAAACATGAGAAGATACATATCTTTATGAGAGCCTGGGTTGGGAAGAGGGTATATTTGCATAACTATGTAGGCTTCATCATCCGCGAGGGTGTACATTTCTGCATGAATCTGTGACTGAGAATGCCTCTGTGGCATTGTATCAGTGTGCCTATCAGTATGTGTCACTGTATATAAAGATGAACGCCTGTGATATCTACTGACAAGCAGGTGGGGGTCATGAGTGTAAGACTTTCTGTAGGCACCTTAGGGAGGGTTAGAGACGCAAAAATAACCTACGCTAAAGCTAGGCCATACAAGGTTAAGGATCACTCTAATAAATGAGCCAGACCTCTATGTTGAATTAGAAAAATCTTCAGTATAGATCAGGGTGGGTTACCATAGATGAAAGGAGAGGGAAAAAAGTTGTTACTATATCTTATTTACTTGGGTCTAGAATAGCTGTTGTTAAATATAGCAGGAGAAGCAATACTAAATTTAATAAAATTTCTACCAAACTTAAATAAAACCGAAAAAAAATAGTTGGGATTTATGTTCGCTGAGGCATGGATTGTAATGGACAAATGTGGATGGGAAGGCTCACTAACATCAAGGGGTTTCTCAGCTAACCCTGTCTTCACCCTTCAACTCCAAATCCCAAAGTTACTATTGCTTATAAGTCTGAAGTCTCTGTTGTCTGTGAACTGTTCAAGACGTTCCCCCTGTCATATGTATGTATAAATCTAGAACCAGATAAGGTGTTGAATGTCTGACATCTTGGTACTTGGGAGGTAGAGGAAGGAGGATCAGGAGTTCAAGGTCATTCTTGGCTCATAGTGAGTTTGAGTACACCCTAGGATACATGAGAATGAGTTGCAAACAAGCAAAACCCAAACCATCAAAATAAAACAACAGAAAAGCAAGCACAGGCAAGGGCATATTAGCATATGCCTAAATCTCAGCACTTTGATGCAGTAAGGGTGAGGGTCACTGCAAGTTTGAATCCTCCCTGATCTATATAGTGACTTCTGGACCAGCTAGGACTACATAGCAAGACTGTGTCTCAAAGATAAGAAAACAGAACATGATTCTAAAACAAGCAAAAAATCTGAATAATTCTGTAAATGACTTATGTGGGTGTCTGAGTAAGTGTATTTTAATTTCATCTCTACTAAAACTGCTTTCTACGCCTGATCTGAATCCTTGTTTTTTTTTTTTTCCTTCCAAGACTTCATCGATTTCTCTGGCTCTGCACTCATGTAGTATTAATAGGAGCCTGGGCTGGAAGATAGTTTCTGTTGTCATCTCTCTAGCTCAAGAGCAAGTTTAGCAAATAGAAACTCCAATTATGTGTGTTCTCCTTTTCTGTGTTGAGATTG